GATCTAATGTCACACTTGTTAATGGTGCATCTGAAAACATGCTGGATTCTTCTAATCAGAAACACTTCGCACTGTGGAGCCCAAACGGCTGACGATGCTCACCAGAGAGTAGCGAGTGCATGTCTAGAAAAGAGCAACAACTAGCTTCACATGCAGAAACATTTCATCACATCTGAAGGTTTCTGATTTCTTCAGTAACTTTATATCCAGAAAACTGCTCTAGTCATAGTAACAGGGTCTATTTGTGTATAAAATGAAGTGTCATTCTACCTAAACTACACATCATTCATACCTGTTCGGAGATTCTGTGATCTGGATTCACCAGCAGCTCCTTTGATAAAACAATGACCTCCTCCAGGCTGAAGGTTGTGGTGAATCTGAACCTCCTGAGCTGGAGGGTCAGAACACTGTTGACAGTGAAGACAGAGAGGTGGAAGAGATCAGAGAGATTAGATACGAAATGAAGGGAACTGCTGGTTTTAGTCTGTTTGTGATGATGTTAGCCAAGAATAACAGCTGCTCTGTTGACCCTCCAGCTCCACATGGACACTGTAAATCCAACTGGCCTTCCTGCAGCAGGAAGAAGTGTGTATATGTTGTTATCAGTCACAGATTATATCAGATTGACACACTTTGTCGGAATGTGAGAATGGAGTGTAAAGCAGCTTTTGCTTTCAGATACTGGCTCACCTGCAGGTAGCAGGTCCAGAGAGAGGTTCAGATAGTCCTCCTCCCTCACGGACTGACAACCACGTAGAGTAAAGGGAACAATTCAAACTCAAAGAAAGTCACTAAATAGACACTTCACTTGGCATGGCTGTCTCTGGAGTCATTTTATGCACATGATCAACACAGTTAACCTTCTGAACTGTAAGCAGTCCTGCACTTTTATGGCACCAAAGAATGCAACAAAATTATTTTTTTTACAGAATTTATGGCCAATTGTTAATTGAGAAACGTAGAATTAACTGATTTTGATGAAAAACCACAATTTAAAAATTTGGTAAATTTTCCAGATGAAACAACACATCACAGATAAGCAGTTCAATGACCACTGAAAAACTAAACATCCCAAAATGTTTTCTGGTTTTACAACTTGTAGCTGTGATACATTTTGTGGTTTTTTGATGTCTGTCAAACTTGCGACTTGGTTTTGGTGTTAAGAAGACGAAAGCTTCACTTCAGTCCCAGATAAGAAAATAAAACGTGAGACAGCGTGTTCATAACTCTTGTAGGTCCTGGTGCTCAACATTTCAAAGGAAACATGAGCAGCTAGAGATGTTCACGTCGGCTGCTGCTGTCTGCAGGTCGACGAACACAAATGTTCTCGTATCATGGGCATCCTGCACAGAAACATGCAGAAAAAACTGCTTCAGAAGGTGAACATTTGACAAAAATTGTAAAATAGTTCAGTTAAAATTCAGTGTGGTGCTACACTGCATCCACCCAACTTTCTGACTGTCATCCAGGAATTCTGAGCTAAACTCAGCTGGAGTCTCCTGAAAGACAGTCAGGACCAGATTCTTCTCTGCCTTGTTGTTGGAGAATTCAAATTCAGATAACTTTATTTATTCCCTAGGGTCAATTCAAAAGCTTACTGAGTATTTAACATGAAGACATAACAACAACAAAAAAGCAATAAACTACATCATAAATACTACATTATATCAAATGGACATTGGCAGGGAGTCAGCAGGTCAAAGATGGTTGTGCATTTAGAAGGAGGACAGCTCTGGGAACAAAAGTTGCCCTCCTTCTTTGAGTCCAGCAGCCTGAGCAGCGAAGGCAACATCCACAGGGGAGCCACTCAAATGCAGGGAACGGCTTTCCTTAAGCTCTGTTGCTCACAAAGGGTGACAAAAGGAGCCTGATAATTTTGGAACAGATCTTGACAACACTCAGTAGCCGTTTTTTACTTTGGATAAATCCATCTTTTTGAGTTATGACAACTTCTAATAAAATTATGTTCAACCAACATCTAGGTAGAGTTAGAAGAAGAATTAGCTTTTCCTCCTCAATCAAAGGTAGTTTTTCATGACCACATACTTTAGCTACAATATACGCTATTCCTTAACTTGAGCAATATAGCATTACACACAGTTCATCCAAAGTGAAAACAGAACAAGTAATGAGAGGGAACATGAGCAGAAAAATGCAATAAAGTTTGAAGTAGGAATAATTAATACAGGGTTGAGGTAAAAGTGAATTATTCTTTGCATTTCCACAGTGCAACACACCGTGCATGTTGGTGCTGCAGACAGCCTCTTGGCACAGTGCCCAGTCTTGCAGCGCGTCTTGCCAGCAGAGGGAACTAGAAGTTGGAAAGTCCAGCTTTAGAAATAGCTCCTCTGTCTGCCTGACAAACATTTTCCACTCTGTGTCACCAGCTCCCGCTGTGCACACTGACTGATAATCTGCTGTTTGGACAGCGAACACCAAACTCCACAGCCTGTTTTATCTGAACCAAACACTCACTGTGACACCTGGCGACCTTGCAGAGACCTTGAACACACAGGTCAAAGTCAGATTCACCATTTTGAGTGGGGTTTTTTTGGTGCTTACTGACAATAGTTGAGATTATCCATCTGAATAGAAAGCAAAGTCACCACTGACTCCTCTGCAGCCAACTGTTATGTCATGGATTTGGGAAGTGGGGTGGGTGAGAGAGAGAGAGAGGCAGAGAGAGAGCGAGAGAGAGGCAGAGAGAGAGAGAGAGAGAGAGAGAGACAGAGAGAGAGAGAGAGACTATTACACAGCTTGTCTACCTTGTTATTCCTGTGCAGCTCCAGCATGCATGTCTGCCTATCTGTTGATTTGTGGCTTCGTGTCTGAATGCACGTCACATTTTGATCTGCCTCTCATCTAGCAGCTCATCCAGCACCGAACCCACAGGACGCAGGTATGCTGGGATGTTGCTTTTCTGTTTTTATTCACGTTGCAGAAAGTTTGAGTAATCCCTGAGTCCTCTAGAAAGGGGGGAATTATACTTCAAATCAAGCCTGTGATTTAATTTCCTGCTCGTTGTTATTAAAAGTGTGCTATCTGTTAAGCTGTCAGTGTTAGACGGGTCATCGTGGGTCACTGTAGGGCAGCGAAGGAGCAGATTTGATCTTGTACAAAACAGAGAAAAGGGACAAGAGGAGCTGGTTTTGTCTTATCAACTGATTTGACATTGAAAGCTGACCTTTTGTAAGTTTTGATATGTGAATTCACTCTGTCCTCATCACACATTAGCACAAAAAAAGTGCCCTAAATCTTGTTGGTCATTTGCTTCACCATGAGTCTGTTATCACTGGCACAGGATCAATGGGAATCCAATTACTCAACTAGGACAGTAAGCAAAGGTGGATCACAGAGTCAGGAAGGTTGTGTGCCAAGGGTTTAAAGTGTTTGTGTGGCCAAATGTAATGTCCAAGGCTGAAGTCTGCACAGGCCTGCAGGGCACAAAGCCCAGCAGAGACAATATGGCAGCTAGTTGGTCATTAAATCTGTGACGTGTCGGAGGCGTCCGTCTCAGTCCGCTCACTCTGGGAGGCGTGCAGTGACACGGCAAGGATTTTACTTAACAAAAACATTATGTACAGGCTAGGTGAAGGCAGGAGACTCATTCGCTAAGAATCAAGGCGCTGTTTAATGGGAGTGTTTATTCAAGGCCTAATCAGCCCTTATTGATTTGTGCAGCCGCTGAGCTCAGAGTCAGAAGGTTTTGTTGCTCAAAAAGAAACAAGCTGTTGCACAAGAGGCAGGAAAGAGGTTTGTTTTCCTCTGTGAGGCAACACAGAAGACAACATGTGAAAGTTTTGGATTGTAAGTGCATGTGAATATGTGTTCAGAGTGATAATAGTGAACTAATAATAATCTCTCTCTTGATGCGTCTCCTCCATGAAAACCTTTTACATAGAGAAATCACTTAAAAACAAATGTTCAGACACGTTGGTTTGGGTCAGGAAACTCAAACTCAAAACTTCTGACGTAGTTTTGTACACAGTCTAGATCAGTAGTTCGCAACCTGTTCAAACATTTACACTTCAAAATGATGTTTTTTGCATTTAGAAGAAAAACAAAGAAGATATAGATCTATTGGATTAGCTGTGTTTCTAAAAAAAAATATATAGGGTCAAAACATACAAGACAAGACAGACAGCAGTCCATTCATTCAATCTAAGCTTACAGATGTGCAGACGTGTGTGACGTCTCAGATATGTTCCACCAGAACACTTGGATGCCTCAGTTTTTTTTCAGGTCTACAAGCATTACCTTTGTAAACCTATTCCGAAAGAAACCCCACAGCTTTCCTACCCGTAACAAACCTCTACAGCTGCTAGTTATCACAAATCACCTCTTTCTGATTCTTAACTAACTTCGGGTTAAGTGCGAATGTAACAGATATTCAACCCCAGAGAGGCTGTTAAGGGATTTGTCCTCGTTAGGAGGCATGTTCTGAAACCAGAGAGAACACACACGGACCACATGTTGTGAACACGATACAACATTAGACAGCGAGAAGCAAGAGTTTAAAATGTCTATTCTGGGAGCGGCATGAGGGTGACGAGTTTCATGCAGTCAAAGCCGAGACACGGCACAAGAGGGTCACCTTGAGACCAAGAACAATTTTTCAGCTGAATTCAGGCAAACAGCCCCTGTACAGAGTGATTCATAGAACCTGAAAAGTTGTTTTTCAGAGATTTCCTGTTAAGATAAACGTCAATATCTGAGCAGGAATAAGACCTGTGCTGCTGGAATGATGGTGCTCCAGACACAACATTTAATGCCATTTCCATTTTACGTCCCGACACTTGTCCAATTCTCATGCCATGTGGAATCACTGAAATAGCTTCCACTCTTGGCTGACAGATGGAGACGTATATAGTGCCTAAACATAGTAAGATATGCAGGTCGAGGCTATAGATAGTCACAGCCGCTGCAATACAGAGCAGCCGGTGAGCAACTTTTTCCAATCACTGTCCCGTTGATGTCAATGAGAACAAACACCAGTGAGAATGACCGGTAATGAGGGGAGTCTGTGGCCGTGTCGCACCACATCATTAACCCTGAGAAATGGTACGATCCTGGTGAGAGTGGCTGCAGTCTGTGTGTTGCTTTGACCTGTTTGCCTCAGGACCAGATTGATACTTCCACTGGGTGGGGCCAAAAGCAGAACATATTGGAAGAGTTTAAAATTTCAAAGAGTTAATAAATATAATAATAATATAATAAAGTCATGAAAAGGAGTGGGCACAAGTCACAGGAGTCAATCTGAGACCAGAGGAGTGAGTCTGGGGACAGTCTGCCGGCTTGCCAGCAGCTCTGAAAGGTTGCACACTTTGAGCTAAACAGCAGGATGCTAACATGCTGATGTTAGCAGGTTTAATAGTTGGCCTGTTTACTTTCCCAGTTGATCACACTAAACCACTGACTACTCATAAAGTTAGACA